ACTCACGGGAGTTGCTGTCTGGAGGAGACGGAAGCGCTCTGTGCAGCACAGCCGCAGGGGTTGCACAACACTGAGTAACAGCGTTACAGCACCTCCTTGGCTTGGGGTCACAGTAGCTGCTTTGCTTTGGAGATTACAGGCTTAGGTCTTAAACTCCTGGGGTAATAAACACATTAAAAAATAACCTCAGCAGCAACAACAGAGCCCCTCCCCCAGAAGCAGTTTGTTATCTGAGGGTGTCATCCTGTTCCTGTTGGAACCGATGATCAAATTCCTCCCTGGGAATAAATTTGGGTACTTGAATATCAGGCATTAAAAGGAAAGTAAAATGAGACAATAAAATATCAGCCAAAAGTTTTGTGAGTTTTCTTTTTAGAATCAAATTTCTTCCCTTCTGATAAGATGCAGCAGGGTAATACTTCACAATTGTTGGTGTTTCTTCACTTACACAGACAGAACATGGTAGATCTGAGAGACAGAAAGTCCTTAACACTTGTAATTAAGAAGATCATTACAATATGCCCAGGGTAAGACTATATTGAAATCAGCCTGATTTTTGTGATGGGCCTGGGTATGAGACCTATTTAATTTTTAAACCTTCTCCACTAACAGCTATGGCTACATACCCAGGCTAATTGCCTGAAGCTTTATAATCTTTTTGCAAAAGATTGTTGGAGAGAGCTGGAAAAAGCTCTTTCAGTACAGTCAGAAAATAGGAAAAATGGCCAAATGAATTAAGGCAAGGGAATGAGCTTGGCCTTTTCTTTGTGGAATATCCAGTACATCTTTTCACAATTCCATTTAACCTCCAGTGAGACTCGTAATTGTTTTTTTAAATTCCAAATTAGGCCGGTTTGGTATCCAGTGAGAACATTAGATTGGATGTGTGGGGGCTTAGTAAACTAACACAGCTGACAACTTGTGAGTGCTTGCTTTCAAATGTTGCTTGCTTTTAAATGCTGCTCCTACCTTTAAAAAATGCAACCACGATCTGGTCTCAGATTAGTGCCTTGCCCATCTATGTAACAGCTAGGACTGGAAACAGGACTGGGAAGCTGGGGAGTCATGATGTACATAATTCCAGACTGGAAACTTCAGTGAATCCTGCAAACCTCCATGGGGAAAAAGAAATGCAGGTATAGAAGATCTTTTTGCACAGATGATGTTTCAGAACAAGAAGCTTAGGAAGGTTTCTGACTGGTCTTGATTCTTGTAATCATATTGTGTCCTGTGGAAACAAAATGCCTTAATACAGTAGAAATTGCATAATTGAAAATGAATAATCTATGCTATAACTACAGAATAATCTTGGGATGATCAAAAATGACTGAAAAGACCTTAGGAGCCATGGCCATTGCCAACACATTTAACATGAGCTCCCAGTGGGTGCTGAAGCAAGAATGCTGTCTACAAACATGGAAATGCAGGACTAACCAGGGGCATGCAGAAGACCATCAGTGGACCATCCCATGCAATATCTGTTCCTGTCTTCCAGTAAGTAGGAAAAATGAAAGGTGGTACAGAAGCCCACAATATAAATGGTCAGGGGCTGGTAAAATGCTTCATATTGCCTGCATGCTCATTGTACTTTAGCCAAGAGAAGTCTTGAAGTTGACCTGAAAACACTCAAAGCAAGTCAACATGGAATGGTGTAGGCAGACATGAGTGAGCTCTTTCTGTACTCCAGGCTTGCTGGGCACAGGCTAACTCCAAACTGGGAATCATGTAACTGCCTGAGTTTGGGACTGCACTGAGCTCAAACTAACAAACCTGGCCAGGAAGCAAAGCAATAGGTGTGGGTTCTGGGTAAAATTAACTATCCCTTTTGGAAGGCTTAGTATATCTCTGATCACAGACAGGTTTTTGTAAATCTGCTTCTTGGGAATTGTGGAGATAGACCTTGAAAAATAGCCAAGAATCAGGAATGGAAGGGAGGAGCTGAATTTGGAACCATTCATCAGGAATGGTGGGTACATGTCTAACTTACATCCTTCTTTTCTGACTGAAAGAGCCAGATCCTGGTATGCATAAAAGCTTTCAGACTGTCCATGCCCTTAGTTTCCTTAGGGAAGAGGGCTGGCAGTGCCAACAATTTCTGGGCAGAAACCATGCTTGCTAATGAAGGAAATCTGGGAGAAAACATAAAATCTTTCAAGAACTCCATTCCAATGGTTGATCTGCCTCAACAACAACAACAAAATCTTTTGGCTCTGCAGGGTCTTCAATGTTTAGTTCTTGTTTGAACACAAGAAGGGTCAACCCTTCTAGATCAAACTCTCATGGAAAGTGGAAGAGGCATCATCTCTTGACACTTGCTGGATCATATGCTGCTGGTTTTCCAGAAGAGATGCTTCACCAAAATGCACAGGACTGGTATTAGTACGGAGCCAGTGACTCTCGTGGACCTTACAGCTCACAGAGGAAACTACCTTAGTCCTCAGTGATGTTTTTCCTCTTGACTGTTTGGCTCATCAGGACAGGGTGCTCAAGTGACAGACAACAGAGCTTGCAGATGTTCTGCTTATGTCTGTGTAGTGTGCATGTCCCACTTTGTATTGCAAAATAGAATAGCTGGTGGGAGGGGAATACAGAAGGAGGAAAGTAACCTTCTCTCTGAGAGAATTTTTAGTCACTGCAGTAACTAAAAATTCCTGAAATTCGTAGCCCACAGCAGTGAGCTGTTGCATGCTTTTTGCTGGGATCTATCTGGAGGTCATACAAAGGGTTTGGGTAAATCCCTGCTGTCAGCTCTTTGCTTCTGAAACTCTCATTTCCTCCTTCTCTCACATACACTTATGTTCCTTTAATCATAGAACTTCCTACTTCTTTTTTAAGCAAAAGCTGACAATGGAAGTTTTTATCTTTTGTTGAAGCATGAGGTTTTTTAAAAGGGGAAACAAGAATTTACTGTACTTGCAACACAAACAGATCCACTCAAATGTCCAAATATATATTCCTTAATTTGTCCACAATTTTAAGCACCTGTTGCCTTAATTTGTACCTATTTAGTAATGTCTTTTAAACATTAGCCCCAGTTAAAATAGTATTGCTTTCTGGAACTCAGATGCTGGAACAAATAAGTAGAGAATCTGAAAATCTGAAATGCTAGCTTTTTTTTTTTTTTTTTTTTTTTTTTTTTCTTTTAAACAAATGCCAGTAATTTTGGATGCCTAAAGATGTTCTGAGAATAGAAGATGCTGTTTATGCCTGCTGGATTTAGGCTAAAACTGACTTATTTTTCCTACCCTGTGTGGAACTTGGCAGCTACCAGAGTATGGGTAGTGGCTTGCTGTGGCACCTTTCATGCCAGCCAGCGTATCTAAGGCAGCATGCAGTAACACTGAAGTCAGCAGTTATATATGACTCCATCACTTTATCCCATTAAATTCTGCAGGAGCCAGTTGGGCCACCTGGAGTTTCTGCAGCTACAATTTCTGTTCAGGCATGGTAAAACACCTACATATGTTCTGTCTCACCATCCTTTTTCTTGTTTTCCTACAAAGTCAGTGCATTAAAGCAATTTTTCTATTCCTTTGACATAGTTTAGGAGTTTAATGCCAAGCAATGACGTTAAGGTCAGAAACATGACAGTCAAACAATAAACCCCAAATTTGTGAGCAAATAACTTTTTCATTAAATGTCAGGTAAGGTGGCAGGTATCACCAAAAAACGGTTCCAGCAGGGGCTGCAAAATAATGGATCAGCATCATGGACTGCCCTCATGTAAGCTCCAGCAAAGTTACACGTTCTAAGTGTCTGTGGCTGAAATTGCTACTTAAATTATTTGATTTCTAGGTACTATGGAAGCTTGTTCTCAGCATGACGAAGATGTCAGTGCATCCCAGATATAGGCCAGAAGCTCTTGGAAGATATGGAAGATATTTTTGTATTAACAAGTCTTTTATTTTCCATTCTAGCAGGTCATTCTGACCAGATGACTATGTTATGTAATCAGGTCTTACTTGACTTTCTCCACTGCTTGAAAAGGATAGAACACTTTCTTTATCAGAAAAACCCTGCTGACACTGAAGCCCTCCTTTATGAGCTCCATCAGGGACTGAAAAAAACCCGAAGGTTTTCTGAGGCTTATCCCAATTATTTCACCATGCTCAGATTAGTATTGCCTCTCAGTTCAATGGGCATTTGCGCTCACATCTCTTTATGGTATGTCGGACATCCTGCTGCAGGTCTTGAAAATGTCATGGCTTTATCCTCTCTGGCCCTACATGCCTTCCTAACAGTCTATCTCTCTCCATTTTTAATAAGCATCTTGGTTTTTCCTTCTCTCAAAAATGAACATAAGGTCTGTTAACAAATTGCTGGACAAGCTTCCTGTAAATAGCTTCCTTAGAATGACTCTGTACTTATGTACTAATTATATTGTTATTTCTCCATTTGCAAGGTTCACTGCTCCTCTGTGTCTGCCTCTTACCTCAGTCTCTAACCACTGAAACCACCATTTAAGATTCCTTATCAAAAAATACCAGAGACAATTGGTGTATCAGGCCATTAAACACTAAACAACAACCACATTTCAGGTTTTGTTTGTTTTGCAATCAGGCTTTATGTGATATGCCCTAAGAGAAAACTGTGAATAATGAGCTGGGAAGACATACATGTACCACTAATCCCACCAAGAACCCATGACTTCATGAGCTCAAAGTCCCAGCCAGCAGCTGACTCGAAGCTACTCAGCTTATCTTAACTAGTGCATGGAAGAAATGCTCTTGAAGACAACCATTGCCTTGGCAATTCCAAGTCTGCAACATTACAAGAAATATCACTATCTACAGAGCCAACAACATCCCATGCATCAAATGCTGGCAACACAGAAAAATGAGACTGTATATAAGAGTGTTATTAGTATTCACTCATCCTGTAACAACTTATGAAAAAGAAATCTGAGAAAACTGAACTTGAAATTTCTTAATGCTGGTGAAACAGTCAACCCCTAGCCTCCTTCTCCCTCCCCAACTTCCAAAAGAAAGAGGGCAATAGGATGAACCAAATTGTAGCAAGACTTTATTTCCTGAGGACCATCTTGATTAGAATGACTTGCACATAATTACTAAGAAATGGAAACTCACTGCCTCACTAGTAATACAGGACCAGACAGATACAACAGATAATTATCATATTCTGCTTTTACCTAGAAAATGAAAAAATGTATTTCTATCTCCTTTGCAGACAAGCAGTCTAGTGTGAAATGTTAACAAAAGGAAAGGTATTACAGAAGAGTGCTAGAGAATGACAAAAACAAATAGGCATTTGGTTGAATATAGGATCAATGGCTGTTGCCAGAACATTTTTTATTAGTGGTTCCCAATCAAAAAAAAAAAATGTAATGAAATTTTTCTAAAATCTCTTTGGTTCTGAAATGATGCATGAGAAAAGTCCAGGATGGGGAGCTAGTACAAGCTTCTCCAGAAGCCCTGTTTTAATGATCTCTGTTCTCTCTGCAAGAGGAGTTTCATCATCTTTCAGCATCTATAGCCCCAATGCTTTTCTAGCACCATGAAAATATATGATACAATTAGAGAGAAGAAAAAATGCATTTATGCAAAAGAACAACTAGAGTCTTGTACATAATGAAGTCCCTCTTGATTTGCTTTGGGTTATGCTGAAACTTTGAGGCACAGAAAGTTCTTGCAGCCTCAGGTTTGTCTAGATGAAAGGAACATTTTCTGGCAGCTACAGGAGCAAATGAGTACCTAGTGATCCACCCTAACTCAGGTTATGTAAAACTTAGTGGGTGTAAGCTGCACATGTGCCTTCTGAAAGAAATGCCTGGATCGCACTCCCGCTTGTTGGCCTGGCTGCCAGCGCTCTCCTCCCTCCCACGCACCTGCTCTAGTAAAGCTCTCTTGTAGAAAAATTACTTCATGTCACAGGGCGTGACACCATATAAATGCTGTGCAATGATCTAAGGTGCCTCAAGCAACCACGGCATTCATCCTGCTGTAGTCAAAATGTATTAATTTCAGGCATTTTTTCTGGTGCCATCAACACCAAAATTGTGTTTGCAAATACGGTGCAGCGTTTGATGTGGAAAAGAATGTGAACATAGAATTTTGAAATGGATGGGAGACTAGTAAAGGGCCATGTTACACAGAGCAACCATTGTGCTGGAGATGCCTAAGCAGGCTCTAAGAGAACAGGCTGGCTTGTTCAGGGCAGAGCAGTGGCATGCACAGACACCTAAACAAGCCCTGACCAGCCCAGCCCCAGAAACAGCAGCAGTGTAGATGTGAAACCTGAGCTGTGTGCTGGGGAGCAGCAGGGGCAGGGCAGCTCTGAAGAGGACAGTGAGCCAGGGGCTGAGGGTGACAGGCAGGCAAAGGGAACAACTTCCTGACAAGGAGCATGTCCCACCATACTCAAAAAACACTAGCAAGGCAGGTCAATAGTTCAGATGACCAGTCAAGGCTGAGCTCAAGCAGGAAAGCCAAGACCATAGGTCAGGATCAACAAGGATACATAGCCAGATGCAGGTGTGGCTGCAACACAGCTCAGGCAAGGACCAAGCACAGGAAATGCAGTTTAAATGCATCTCCTAAAAGATGGTGGCAGTGTGGGAAGCAGCTGGTTTCTTCCAGCTTTCTGTTGAATGGTTGCAAGGCCAGCAGGCACGGAGGCCCAATGCTGAAATGCCTCTAAGACAGACGTCTGCATTATCTAATTAAGCAGCCTAATCTCCAGGAGAGAAGAGAGTGCAGGGAGGGCACTGATAGTATCCCACCTGACTTGGCTACAAAGTAGTATGCTCTGCCATTCTGACATACCAGGCTGTTTTATTACTATCTATTAATTGCAGCACCTATTGTAGTGGGCTTGAAGTAAAAAAATGGATTCAGTGTTCCTTGCTTCACTGAATGATGGAATAAGATCCCAAAGGAGTAAAAGCATCAGCTATATTGTCTTTGCCATGCAGAGACTATTGTCCTTCATTCAGAGTCCTACTAGCTGCAGTTTTGTGACTTAGTCCTAAATGCAATTCCTATCAGATTATTATGTTTGAAAAAAATTCCAAGAGTATTTACTGACTGCTATACTACAGTCCTTGCTGCTCAGGACTGGTGGCAGTGCCTCCACTTGAGTATGTGTCAAGCAAGAGCTGGTGTGTGCTGGGTACCTGCAGAGGAGGTACCTGGCAAGGACACAACATGTTTTAATGGGCCTGAGAGAGTTACTTTTGGGAGGAAGGAATAGCTGCCAGTAAAGGACAAGGTTGCAGTGGCAGCATTTCCCATTTCACATTGTTTTGGCAGAGCATTGCCTGACATACCAAGAACATACTAAGACCTTCTGGAACAATCTTTCAGAAAACCAGTTTGACACAACTTGGAAGATCTGGATTGCACTGGATGCCAGCAACCAGTGAGAAATTGAAATATTTGGTACAAGTCATTGCACTTTTTTGTGACTCAGTTCTCACTCTAAACAAGAGAACGTGTGCCTTTATGAAAGTGCTTTGATCTTCCCACGATAGGCACTGTAGAATTTCTCCAATTCTGTATTAAATAATGATCTCTGGAAATAGACACCAGGGCAAGAAGAAGTACCTCGAACAGTCAGCAGCACGGGGAGTCCCAGGTACCTACCACAATTACTTGTTGGAAGAAAACCAAACCAGAACTGGTGACCATGACCCACTGCAGCCGGTCCTCTGTCCATGCAGCGCTGTTCACTGCAAAGGTTTCAGAGATCCTGCCTTTTTCTTGTTGCAAATGTCAATATCAGTTCTTTCCACGTTTCAGGCTAATCTCTCTCAGGACCACTGCATCCATGTAATTCACTAGCACTGCACCCCTTGCTGCCTTTGCCATGCACCTTTGAAAGCCTAAGCTGCACATACCAATGAACCCCTTCCTTCCTTCTTCACTGTTTTTTCTTTTCTTCAAAGATTAGGCATCACTGCTGGGGATTTTTATCTGTAGAAGTGATATAGAGAAAATGTTGATTATTTCAACTTGGATTTTCTGGGAGTGGCTCATTTGCTATTTTTGCTGAGGGATTTGATGTATGGATTTGCAGGTGGCTTTTTAAAAAATACTCTCTGAATCAGAAATTTATATTTACTGTTCATCTAGAAGACAGTATATGATGACAATTTCTGGTACTCAGAAAATAAGAGACCTAATTTTACACATTTTTAAGGATGCTCAGCAACAGCATAGCTGGAGTATCAAGTATCTGGGACTAGCTCTGGGCTCTATTACTTCTTTCTCATACTTCCGGAAGGAAAAGCCCCGAGCTTTTACAAAGTTGGGAACTTGGTAAGTGGTATTACTTCCCTTCAACTTCTAGTCCAAAGCCTTTTACTGAGAATTTGTGTAAGTGCATTACTAAGTGCACTTAGATGAGAACTAGAGTCACTGTTCCCAGAAAGCATGACTGGTAAATAGGTAACAAGTAAGTTTAGGCTTTTCTAACTATATAGAAGCAACTGTTTCATTGTACCAGGGAGCTGAACGGAAATTATCAACCATTGTAGACAGCACCGTACTTCCAGGGCAAGTCTCATCTCACATGCTTCTGAACTGGCACCCCACCAACTGTGGTTTTGTTTTTGAATACCAAAAAATGTAACAACATAGATGTAGGCATAGATTATTATTATTATTTTTATTGCTTTTGTTAAAAAGTCAGTGTAGGAACTCTGGCACTATGCTGTAAAAACGCAACATTACTGAGTGATCTAACAGTATGAGGTCCATTATGACAAGATTTTAAACATGAAGCGTAAGCTTCACTGTGGATTTCCAAATTAAAAAAACCAAGCTGAAGAGGTAAATGGATTATTAATAACTTATGTATGTGGAATTTCAATACTAAGTGAATATAAAGTGGACTTGCAAAAACCAAACATATAAAAATCACGTCCTGGGTGAATCTCCACTATAGCAAAACACCAGTGCCTATAAACTCAGTGCTTAGTGACTGAAAAAACCGATGGCAATATTCCTAATTCTGAAGTAAACCCCAACAAAAGCATATCCATGGGTATTATTGCACAATGTTGCTTTAACTGGCTTCAAACTACTTTTGCATTAAGAAAAGTGAAACTTACTTTTTCAGATATTTAATCTTATTTGAAAGATGCATTGCAAAATAATGGTGTCCTAACTAGAACTTCTATATCCTTTATGAAACAGTTTAAGCATATCTGGCACACCATGAAGCTCTTGAAATTATTCCACTTTTTCTCAGAAAAAGTCTTTAGATTTCTCAGAGGATGGGTGGGCATAGAGTAGCAAATAAAGGGGAAAAAAATGACAGTGGACATTACTTTCCCAGCAATAAAAGATGTCTTACATCACACAGCAGGTCAGAAATAAATAAGATGAAATTTGAGGAGTCTGAATAGAAATCCTTGAATGACGCTGCAAGAGTCACAGGCTTCACCAAATTAATGTCAGTATATTTTGTTAGGAATAATGTAGTTACTATATACAGTATGTTTATCAGATAATGCTAACTAACAATACACTAAATTAATTGTAGTTAAAGAAGAAATATACTAAACCAACATACTTAAAAAAAAGGAAGGCAACCCCCAGTTATACATAGTTACATATGATAATGTTCAGCTCCCTGGAGTTCAATGGATTGACACCTTCAAGCATCAGGAAGCAGTTTCTGAGGTGTAAACAACATAATTAACAGAACCCAGCCAAGCTGTAGGGGAATTACACCAACAAAAATTTCAAGTCCAATCACAAATCACCTGTAAATGTTACCACTGCATAGCTGCAATGGGGCAGTCATGCTTTCAAAGGTTTTACACTGACGTATTTCTTCAAAAGACCTTCTAAAGGATGTGCTATTTAACTTGGAGGTGATCCAGACACAAACAAAACTGTGACAAACCCAAAGCACTTAGGTTTAGAAGCACTTACTGAAGAATCCATACCATATTTACAGTGTATTGCGCATGACTGCACACACTAGTAAGTTTCTCCTGTTTACTATTTCTTATGTGGCATCTTACTCTTCACAGTATTTCTACATACTAAGAAGAGAAGAGTCTTTCCCCAGGAAACCAGCTTCTCTGATATGGAAAGCCACCATGCCCACATCTTGCTTTGCCACAGTAAGGTGTGTACAACAAACACGACAACGTCAAATCCCCATGGATGATGACAAAATGACTCAGTTCTTCCCTTTGTTTCTCGCTCAGCTTCTCTGCTCCCTTACAACTGTGCAGGTCAGTCAGCATCCAGTTCTTGTCTAGTAAGAAGAGGCTTCCCATCTGTATCACCCATCTTTTTTTGCATCTCTTCCACAGCTTTCAGCAGAGCTGCTCGCTCCTGCTCAAGAGCAAGAATGGACTGCTTCAGTTTGCCTTCATTGGTCAATAAAAGCTCTACTGTAGCTTCAAGGTTTTGGATTTTTCCATTAGCCACCTATCACAGTAAAAAGATAGGAGGGGAAAAAAAGGTAAATTCATTAATGACTGAAACCATCTTTATTTTTTGAGATACATGACTATATATAAAATACTAAAGAAATTATGAAAAATTAAACTCAGAATATAATGTAAAGTAGTGAACTTAGAAAGTTACCAAATCTGCAAATTTTATACCAAAGAACTGCAGGTTAAGATAAGCTTCTGTATGGGTCAGTTGGGAGATATTTTTGGCCAGCCACAGTTGTTGCTTTGCAAAACAAAGACAACTCAACATATTAGCTGCATCCTCATTTCATCTCAACATTGAGTCCAATGAATATCAGGTTTGAAGGCAAATGAGAAGAGGATTTAGAGCAATATGCAAATGGAAAACACATTGTGAAAAAAGTCAAAAATTCTCCCTCAAAATGCTGCACATACTGGCATTCTACTTCATGGTGAAACAAAGTATTAGGTGGTTCAAAGTCCTTGTATGAGACCTGTAGGTACTCTGACAATGTCAGATATCTGTTTGGAAGTTTCAGCACTTGGTAATATTTGGAGACAGGACGAGTACAGGGTGGTCTTTGCTTTCAGGAAAGTATTTCCCTTTCTGATGAGCCCACTAGCCATCATGTAATTATGATGGGTTAAAAACTTCAGCCTTTGGGGACAAAGTATTGACAAATTATATTGACCCATTGACATTATCTTGTGATGCATTTTCCTCCTATCAGCAATGCACCACCTGCCACCCTATGAAACAAAGTCTGGTGCAGCCCACCTCCAAGACAAAGGGACTGCTCCAACACTACAGTGTTAGTTAAGTTCCCCCTGCCTTGCCAGCACTCAAGTGGAGACAAGCTTCATAATAAAGTGCTTCAGGCTGTCAAGTCTATAAGGGACAGGAGTGGGTGGAAGATCACAGAATCACAGAGTGGATAGGGTTGGAAGGGATCACTGGAGGCCATCTAGTTGCAACCTCCCTGCTCAACCATGGTTCCCTACAGCATGTAATTCAGGACTGTGTCCTGACTGCTTTTGATTATCTCCAGTGAGGGAGACTCCACAACCTCTCTGGGCCACCTGTGCCAGTGCTCAGTCAAGCACATTGTAAAGTTCTCACGTTCAGGTGGAACTTCCTATCCATCAGTTTCTGCCCATTCCCTCTTTTCCTACTGCTCCGCACCTCCAAGTGGAGCCTGGCTCCATCCACTTCACACCTTCTCTTCATATGCTGATGACCTGCTCCAGGAGCTCCATGTCTCTCTTGAACTGAGGAGCCCAGAACTGGACACAGCTCCTAATATGCCTCACCAGGACTGAGTAGAGGGGCAGGACCACCTGCCTCCACCTTCTGGCAGTGTTCTTCTTAACACCACTGGCCTTCTTGGCAACAAGGTTAATGAACAGCAGGACACCCAGGCCCTTCTTCACAGAGCTGCTCCCCAGCAGGTTGTCTCCCAGCCTGTGCTGGTGCCTGGGGTTATTCCTCCCCAGCTGCAGGACCCTGCACTTGCCCTTGTTAAATTTCAGAAAGTTTTTCTGTTCCCGTCTCTCTCTCTGCCGAGGCCCTTCTGAAGGGCTGCACAGCACTCTGGGGTATTGGCTGCTCCTCCCAGCTTTGTGCCATCAGCGAACTCACTGAGGAGGCACCTGCCCCTTCATCCAAGTAATTGATGGATAAGATAAATAATACTGGGCCCAGTATTGAACCCTGTGCAACACTGCTAGTCACAGGCCTCCAACTGGACTCTGTGCCACTGATCACAAGCCTTTGAGACCTGTCATTCAGCCAGTTTTCAATCCACCACACAGTACACTGTCTAGCCCATGCTTCCCAAGCTGAAGATCCTTGATACAGGTATTTACAGGACATCACATCTTAAATATCATCCCAGAAATCCATATTCCCCTTGCTATATTCAACAATTTCCTTGTCCATGTTGCCCAAAGCTTTATGATTATATCTTGCAGAAGAGTGCCTCTCCTTCTGACTTCTCTACGGCTCAACCTAGAACCTAAAACAGGATCAGATCTCACAGGATCAGAATGTACAGCTGAAGCAAATTTTTGTTAGGCAATCTAAATCCGGGTGATTGATTAGTCTTAGTCAGGAAAAAGAACCAATGTCTGAGAAACCTAAACTTCCTTCACCGATTATCTTACAAAGTTTATGTCTAACAATAATCAAGTGGTTTGAAATGTCTGCTTCTTACCCTTGAAGTCCCTTTCTCCATCAAACTAAATGCACAGTCAAAAGTTTTACAGCAAACATCCCGTTATAAAGCAGCCAGAAAACTGACTTTTTGCTCAGATAAGCAAAGAATAACCCTTTACAAAGAACAGGTGCACTGCCTCTGAAAAAGCTACAGACTATATATATTAGAAATTATTATTTCACATAATGTTTAAAAAATCTGGATAACAGCTAAAAAAATTGTAATAGAAAGTATGTCTTTATAGACAATGTATCCTTTCTCTAAAGTATCCCTAAATTGTGACTTTGTAATTAGTTTACCAATTTTTGACAGAGTAGTATCCCTGCTGTAATAAAGCAGTGACAGAAAATATAAAAATGAAGTAGAAAAAGCACTTTATTTTTAGTTTGAAGTTGAAACAGCACTTTATTTTTAGTTATCTTCTACAGATATGATTTTAATTACAAGAGAAGAGGCAGTGTGTTGAAACAACTTTTCACTAACTACCAATATATGCTCTAACCACCCCACTCTCACAATTCCTTCTGCATGTAAACTTTGGGGGCTAAACTAAATAAAACTTTTAAGTGGCTACCTTCTAAATTCACTAGACCAAACACCAATCCCTCCTGTGATGTGGTATAGGACAACCTCTTCTGAAAAGGTGCATAAATTAGAAAATTAGAATGTTAATCATATATGAGATATAAATTGTACCTGCAGTTCTTCCAGGAGGTCAAAGTTTTGTTTGCGCAAGCTGCTGTTTGCCTTTTCTAATTTATCCAGTCTCTGATTGTCATTTAAAGATGAATCTATAAGCTCATCCTGAAGCACATGATATTCAACTTCATAAGCTTGCAACTGTTTGGCAATATCCATTTCAAATACCTGTTGTATATAAAAATATTATTCAGTGCTGTGCAGATTAAAAACATTGCTCTTTCAAGGCTTTAAAATCTATTGATCTAGGTCTAGACTTAGATATTTAATCAATGCATTCAATAAAGGACTTATTTTTTGGCATTCACATTTCCTATTATGGAAATGGCAAGCCTGAGACAGTGGAGTGCAATACATTTGCATTGGATCTACTTAAAAACTTTGCTACTGATTTGCTGCCTGACTTCAGCAAAACTACCTAAAATAAAGGCTTCAAGGGCATGGACTTGCAGAGTATTTCCCTTTTCAAATTTAATACATCTCAGTTTTGGCATAAACCCTTCTAGTCATACCCAGAATTAGTTGTCAGTTCAGAAAAAGTGTGGTCCAAACTCACCTGCCACATGTACAAGTGTAAGGCTAAGTAAAATAAAAGCCTTAAATGAAAAACAGTAGACTTTGCTATCTTTATTTATGACTCTATAGTATTTTTACAGACTGAAAGAAAATGAAATTTTCTCTCCTTACACTAACACACCTAACAAAAACATTATATAACATCAAAATAGATCTCTATTATTGTTAACTACAGATCACTGAAACGAATGCTCAGTCTTATCCATGAACATTAAGAAAAACTTTTATTTTAAAAGCAGATAAATACATTGAGATGCAAAGTGACCCAAGAGAAAAAACCTACTATTTTCTTTTCCTTTTTTTAGGTTTTGGCAAGCATCTGCCTTCAAATTATTCATAACTATGACTCCAATTTCCACTACAAGCAGTGAAGAAGGTAGTAAATGAAAAGGACAAGTGTGCCAATCACAGAACATAGAAGAAATAAAAGTTGATTTTAAAATGTATTTGAAAAATAGCCCAAGAAGGGAAGTTCCGGGGTCATTCTTTATTTTTAAATCTCTTGTACTTTATTAATTTTGAAAATTAGTCAAATGTCAAATCCCATCTTAAATACCTGTTAAAAATAACAGGAATATTTGCCAATTTTATTTATCTGCTCTGTCTAAAGAACTTTAACTGTTGGTTAAAGAAAACATCAGTTTATTAAATTTATTTCTGTCACATGTAAAATAAAAAGTTACTTCGTAGTTAAATAGCAGCAGAAATGTATGTACTGAGCATCTAAGCACAGAAGGCTGAAATAGAATTTTAATTCGAGTTTGATTACACATAGGGAATTTTCATTTTCTGTGAATCTGAGCATCTCTGGAGAAGACCCCCTGTTGAAATTTCAATAAAACAATCAGTGCAATTCAGCAAGGCAGAATGTTACTTCCTCTCATGACCTCTGCCACTTCTAACCTCTGTGCTCCTGAGGAGGGAGGGAAGTCCCTGCTGTCATAACCAGAGTATCAAATCTGAAAGAAGGGAAACATGAGGCAATAAAAAGTTTGATTTGAAACCTAGCTAAGTGAAGGCACGTTAAGGCACGGAACCAAAGGCCATGCTGCAGAAGGATGCAGAGCATGGGGATTAACCCAGGAGCTGTGTATGGACTGTGGGCTGGTCAAACAGCTGCTCTCTTCAGAGTCAGCCCTGATCAAAGCAAGGAACTGCTCTTCCTTCTACTCACTTCTACCTACCCACTTCCAATTTAGAGCAGTCAGGGCTGCCTGAACAGAGCATCCCTCCCTCCTTCAGCTCAAAGCACACAGTTTTCTGCAGGTCACCCAAGCACTGCAAGTCTTTCAGCCTGGCAGGTAACACACAATTCCCTTCGCCCCTTGGAAATTCCTTGCTTTCCTTCCTCTTGCACAGACTTTCTAGCTCTCATCTCCTTCCTTTGACAGTAAGCACTAGGAGCCTTTTTTCTGGCCCTAATGTGGGCTGTGTCCCCCAGAAACTTTGCTGCCAGGGCACAGAGGGAAGCCCTCACCAGCCCTCTGCAGAGCCCTGCACTGCTGCTTTCTTGATCAACCCATGAGCTTTGATCTCCAGCAGCCCCTGGGGGGCTTGTCAGCATCTGCAGTTCTGCACAGTACAGCCCCTATGTTCTGGACCACAAAAGGCCTTCAGAAAAACTGGCTAAAGCCCATCTTCTATTTGCCTGCTGCAGTTTAGATGTCAAGTGTAGAAAACACTTAGGGTTTTCAAACAGGCAAGCCTTAATTGAAATAATTTTTGGTTTTTTCATAATCCATAAGTATCATCTGGAGTATTCTGCTAATTTAGCAATATTGCATCATTTTCCTTGTCTGCTGTTTAAAAGAATTGCATCAAGGATTCCAAGTTTTGCTGTCTAGAGTCACTACTCACTGCAACAGTCTGCACTGCCCCATGTACTCCTGACAGAATTACAAAGGTGCTGTTGTTACATACTGGGCCAGTACCATGAAAGCTACTAGAGAAAGAGTGGATGTGGGAAGGCTTCTAATTTCAGTAAGCAAGGTTAATATTTGTGAGGCTCTTGTAAGTCAATTTTTGCTTCTGATATGAGACTTGGAAGGCAAGCTTCTTTGGTGAAAAAAAAAATTAATTTTCCCTAAAGGCTTCATAAAGTTACAATAACGAATGGTTACAATACCATATAAAGCCACTAAGTCGTCTTAGTTTACAAGTCATCTGCTTCCAAAAGTTTTCAACATCTTCCAAACTACAAGGGAGTTCTCAGCTTGAAGTAGTAGCTGCTCTGCCTTTTCTGTTGGGAACTTAACAAGAGCATTCCTTTGCATACCTCTCATGTGTTCAGTTTATTTCATACCTGACTAATGGTCTTTTCCATCTGTACCAAACCCAAGTTGGGGAGAGTGCTTTTAATAAAATCAACAATAGTTTCTAGATTCTCATGCTGCAGAATCAAGGGCTTGTGGCTTCCCAAAAGGCTTAAAGCCACTTTAAATATAGCCTCTGATCCTTGAAGAAAGAGCATATCTGTGAAAAGAAGGAAAAAACAGGTTATATCAAGCAAGCACATCTTTTGACAAGAATATCAAAACAATAAATTGTCAAAGGACAAGAACTTCTGATAGAAGTGACCTGGAGGTTAGATACACTGTGCTGGACACATGCTTTTGGCTACAGTTTTAGAAGTTTTATAGGATCAAGATTATTACTGTGAATAGCACACTTGACTAACACAATCACTTACTAATTTGTTCAGTGAGTTTTCACAAAAAAAAAACCCAAAAAAAGCAATTCAAGTTTAAGCTAAGTCTACAATAAACTAGGTAGTCAAGTTTATCCATGTTGCCACTTTTTGTGCATGTAATAATTTAGTGGGCTGTTTTCATGTTTGTAGGAATATAAATTTGCATAGGAATCTAATCCAAGTGCCCTTTAAAAATCGTAATACAACGGAGAAAAAACCAATACCTGAAGGCACATCTGAAGATCTGAAATTTGGTTTTTCTCTCATGTGGTGGAAAAAGCCACAAAACCACAATACAACACTTAGCACATGAGGCTAAATGCACACTTTCCAGTAGCCTCAAGTTTCAGGTGCATGTGTTTATTTTTAGTATGTGTCTCAACCACTTCTGTTAATATGCTAATAGCTATATTAATAAATACCCTGAAATCTTAGTCATACAGCTGAAGTGTAAATATTGCAGGTGGCCCTGCAATGACAGCACCTGGCATACCAAGCACACTGAAACTACAATATACAGTGACCTTTCAATGAAATGTCCTTTCCTTTCTTTTCTTTTACAAAGTGCCTATGTATTTATAGAGTAAAGAAATAGAAGTCTGCAATAAAGGCATCAGACAAGAAACTCAGTCTGTACAAACAGCATTGCCCTGCACTTGACTTTCCTGCTAACTACTGTCAGAATCTGCTCCTGGTTTCATTGAAGAGCTCACCTTGCTACAGACAGAAGCACCTAACAAATTAAACAATACGGATGGAGGTGACAGAGAAATAGAAGATACTGTGGGGTTTTTATATTTCCTAAATATAAATTTACTTTGAAAGGGCTTCTCTCTTGTTCTTTCCCTGCTTTGTATTTGAAGCTGTGAATGTAGCCACAACCAATCACATAACAAGTACCACAGTGACACCAAAACCCAAAAATTAAAAGGAAAAAAAAATTATGTCTCAACACTAAAAAAAAAGAAAAAAAAAATAAAGCAAAGAGATAGAAAAAACCCACCATGCTGTAAGGGAAACAGCTACTAGCAAAACTACAGTTATCTCTGATATAGTGAAAAACCTATGAAAGCTCTGGCTAACAGTCTTTCTTAGGAAAACCAAACTCTATTTCCAAATTTGTATCATAATGAAATTCCCCTCTTACACTCTTTAGCTTGCCATGTTGAAGCCGTAACTCATTTCACTCTCTCTCTCCAAGAAAGAAAAGCACAAGAAAAACTAAGCACAAATCTCACACTTTCTTGCCATTTGTCCTAAAAGGGGTGTAACATTTTTCAGCTCTGTGTTGAGCTGAATGTGAACTCCAGTGGCAGAAATGATTAAAAAGTGGCAACAGAGTACACATCTGCCTCAATTCTCTATTGAAACTCAAAAGTATGGGAAAATGATTCATAGGGAAAGCTCTATATTAGGACAGGAAATGCTGAAGAACAGCTAGAAACACAAAGTGAAAAAAAGCAGAGCTAAAAAGAATGTGTTTTTATGATTCAGCACCTGTCCCATAATGACATGCAGGTTAACTCAAGGTGACCTGAAAGTTGTTAATGAATGTCTGTATGACTGAGCTGGTAATACACAGCCGAAATCCCTCTCCCATTTAAAACAGCAAGTACTTAACAAAGACCTGTTTGTTATCCACTCCCCATGCTTCATATTAAGTGGGCTCCCAGCCAACAACAACACAGTCAAGATACCCAAATTAATGTCAGCATGACTGCCAGCCTACAGGATTAAAAAAAAATCAAGTTTTATCTACAATCTTGAAACAAAATAAACACTATTCTATCAAATCTCCTCTATTAATAAGTAAGCAGAGGTACTAAAGAACGCATCTTTTGTAACACTGTACTTTCATCAGCTCCTGCTCAGGAGAAGTGTTGAAAATTTGGACAGGTAAATGAAAACTTAAAAGGAGTTTTGCTGTTTGATTCATAAAACAGTCTAACACACATTTACGTATTGCCTGTTAGATGCCTGCAAAAAGCACGCTCTATGGAAATCCAAAGGAATGGTCTGTAACAATTATATAGTTAAATATGAGTGGTCTAGCTTCAATACCAGGGGTTCAGAGATACCATGTTAGAAAATGGCAGTGCAATCTCAGACTGTTAATAACCTATAAATCAGTTACTTCAGCATCAACATTCTCTCCTCCCAAGGGTTCTAATAAGTGAGCAATGAAAATCTGTATATGTATGTTATGCAAAAGTGTGCGAAGACATAGGTCAAAAATGATTGGATTTTAACTTGCCATGTTGCTACTGACAGCCACTGGCAGAGTGACAGCTCTAACCTTTTTTGTTTAAAGTTGTGCTTCAGTGTCTTTAGTATGGGTGAGGATAAGACTTTACTTTCTAATGTAAGAGTATGTCCAATGTTCCTAACCAACAGCTCCAGTAAACACTGTTTTAAGAAAGTTGTCACTCTGTTCTTCTAAAGTTCTTCTAAGTCTACTGACGTTTACATTTTTGTAATAGAGTTTCTCACGCACTTTTCATGTAAATAATGATTGTTTTGCATTCCTTTCTGGAGAAAGAGAAAATTGATAGACTGTTGGTTTGACCAGTGTGGTTGGAGAGGTAGCAGTTTCATCCTCCAATCCACGGTCACTTTTAGAATTCTCTAAATATCAAAGTCCAGAAATAAATGCGCCTTTTTTGCCTTGAACATCTCAGTGTATGAGTGTCATTCATTTCATGTCGTATTGTGACAGGAAGTTACTAAATACAAAGGAAATACTGAATTTAATGAAAATACTAAATACAAAGCTGCAGGTGTTGGTCACATTGAACTTTCTCTCTAAAAAACATCAGAGGTTTTGAAGAGGTAACAGTTTCTGCCACACATGCTTTTCTATTCTTGACCTAAAATCAGATGTGTGCAGATCATGTATCAGTGCCTTCAGTTGTAATGCAAAGTCTTGGTTTTCAAAAACCCTACAGTCCTTCAATGATGAGAAAATACTAATCTGTGTATTAAGGCAGAAATCCAGATATACTGGATACAGAAGGCACTTTTATAACCTCACTGTAGTCAATTGCCCCAAACACTTCTTACCATGTACAATACTATGAAAGATTAACAAAAAGATGAGTTGATTATAAACTCGGTATATGACACTTGCATACAGCACTTAATTTGATTCCTACAGATTATTACTGTCAGCTATACACTTCTTGATGCACATTAACCTGCTTTGCACTCTTCCAGGAAAAAAACATGCTGTTTTCCCTGGAGTTTGGATGATAGTCATGGGACATATAGTTTTACTCAATACACCATCCTTTTCACTGTGAATTTTTCTAGCATTACTTTTAGCATGCTCTTAAACAGAAACTAGACAGGATTCTTGTTGGTTCTTCCTGAGCTCTATATTCCTATTTGTGGTAGGTAAAACGTACTGTTTTTAAGTCAAGGAAGTGTCAATATTAATCTGCTAATGAACAATTTCTTCATTGCTTCTCTTAAATGACTAAAGAAAATGAAACTGGTTTCTCACTAGAAGAGAACTGGGGAGAAAGCTCCAATACACCTCACTCATTATGGACAATCCAGTACCATATAATGAAGAGGAAAAACAAACAAGTGAAAAGGAAACAAAGCATCTTCTCAGACACCAAACAATCTATGAAATATATATCCAGAAGAGAGCATCAAGGTAAATTCTTAACTGGAATTTAATTAAAAAAGAAAGATTATGTAGATATTAAAAACAGGCAACAGAAGTGACTTCAAAAACTAAACCCCAGATGATTCCAAACATTCCAAACAGTAACCAAGACAAGAAACACTAGCTTAAATGCCTTGTATTTCTGCAGAGTAAATCCACAATTACACTGCAAGAGATTCTCTGTGTGTGTTTTAAAACATAATGCTCAAGCTAATTTTCTGCTGACACTGTTGGAAATGATGGATGGAGTAAATGGATGTACTTCTCAGATGATGTCTTTATTACATTTCTTTTCAGCTTGAAAATAACTAGTTGTTGGTGTTGAAGTGTCATTGTCATAATACAATGGCTGCCTTCATGGCATCAAATTTTACATCCTCTCTAAAAGTGGTGACAAGGTGGGAAAAGGTAACAATGAGGATGAAAAGACATTAGGGACTGTAGTTTACTTTCCTTCTCTCTCTTCCATTTTTACTGATATACTGCATACTCCATAGGATGACCTCTGTTGTTCTGTTCACAGTAAGCAAAGTATTTCTCCTGAGTGTCTGAAACTGCTTGGACATAATGCTGCTCCTAATACTAAGATTCCACATGTAAGACTTCAGAAAGAACAGAGAGAAGTTTTATGAGGAATTACCAAATACTCTGGATACGAATCCAAGGGGAAACTGGGAGGCAAACATGGTGAGAAACCAGGGAGCAGCATAGAGGCTGGGGCCAATCTCATGTGCCTCTAGGTGGTTGTAGAGATCTCGATGGTAATCATGAAGAAGTCGAGACAATTGGTACATCTGGATCTGCATGGAATAAGAACAAGAGACTAAAGATCAACATGTTTTATCATAATACCAAAGTTCATGCTTCATACATACATGCATCAGAAACAGAGAAAGGTATTTGTCAATTGATGTTGGATGAAATTGTGTGGAAACAAGAAATACCTGGAAGCCACCTAAAAGACACAGGATGGGTCACCTGTGAGCCTACAACAGGCTCATTTGCAGGGTCATTTGAACCTCATTTGAACACAACAGGAGTCTTCTTATTTATGGTTTCCATAGTTTCCCCAGAAGTATTTTGGTTTGAAAATCATGCATTTAGGATGATGTATTCTTTTCCTGGATTATCCTTCCCTATTTTTAAGAATTCAATTGAAGTTCAGGTTTTGACAATGCTAGCTGTATTGCATTATTATTATTATTTAACATTAGCATCTTTTACTTAAAAAAAATGAAATCATACCTGCAAAATTGTCATGTCAGGACGATATTGTTTTCTCAGGCCCATGTCAAACATAAGAAACTTCAGCATTTTAAAAGCATCTTCTTCACTCATATGAAGTAGTAAAACTCCTGCTACAAAACTAAGGCCCTGGCAATATCCTACTTCCTGGTCCAGAAGTGAATAGGCCTTCAAAATGTTGTAGAGTGACAGCTGCCCAGCTCCCAGCTGTGCTGAGAAGTACGGATGTGTTGGAAATGTGCGCCCTGCGAAAAGAGCTGAAGTTACTGACTTAAACTAAAAAATAAACAACAAACCCCCCAAAATTATATCATATTGTCAAATTAAAGTTTTTCAAAAATGTAGGTTCTTTTGAGAAGTAGATTTTGAGTCAACCCACAGGAAGACCATAAGAAAGTTAACAACACAGAACAATTGACTTGTATACTCTACCACTGTTTTGTTACAGTTATTGCAAAGTTAATTTAGAAACTGTCAGGGGATAGGGAAAACCTGTTCTTTGGAACAGCTGATTTTTAAGACTGACTCCTGAACATTTTTCAAAGGATAATAAACTATTATAAGGACTATTATAAGTTGTTCTAATAAGGACAACTATTAGGATTGAGGCACAGACTTAGAACATCTAAGTGGGCTGAGGCCCCTTCCCTTTACTTTTTCTTCTTCATGTAAATGTGTCTCCCATCACAACCCTCCTTGCCTTGGTCCCTCACAGTCTCCATTTGCCTTTTTTTTCCCTGCAGCCTGTACAATACCAAGAATTGAGTACCTGTATATAAGCTACGATATATGCTATATACATATTATGTGAGAGCAGAGCTAATCGAGGCAGCCAACAGACACAGCATTTTGTGCAGCCATTTCTGGGCATTGATTCCTTGAGCTTTGAGCATACAGAAACTATGTCCAGGATCAGCAGGGGACTCCTGGAAGTGTGAGGGTACTGCTGCTGGCTGGTAAGGCTGATGCTAACCAACCCTTGTCAGTTGCCCTTGATGACAGGGTGCCTGGAGCCTTTGTTCCAGCTGATCCCTTATATAAGGGAGGACCTAGGCAATGGGGCAGAGCACGCCTTCAGCAAGCTTGAAGGTAATACAAAACTGGGAGGAGTGACAGATTCACCTGTTACCATTCAGAGGGACCTCAACAGGCTATCCAAATGAGCTGCCAGGAGCTTGATAAAGTTCAACAAAGTTAAGTGCAAAATTCCTGCACTTGCAGGGAACAACCCGTGCACCAGTATTTGCCACCCATCTGGAAAGCAGCTTTGCAGAAAAGGACCTGAAGGTTCTGGTGGTCACCAGGTCAAAGTTGAGCCAGCAAAGAAGGCTGATGGTATCCTGGGATGCACTAAGAGTACTGCCAGCAGCTGGAGGCGGCTGATCCTTCCCCTCTACTCAGCACTGGTGAGGCCACATCTGGAGTGCTGTGCCCAGTTCTCTGTTCCAACTACAAAAGAGATACAGCCATGCTGGAGAGAGTCCAGCAAAGGGCCACTAGGATAACAGAGGGACTGGAGCATCTCTTCTGAGAGGTTGAGAGAACTGGGACTGTTCAGCCCAGAGACAAAAAGGCTCAGGAGGATGTTACCAGTGGGCACAAATACCCAGTGGAAGGGAATGAAGAAGAAGGAACCAGGCTCTTCCCAGTAGTGCTCACTGACAAAACAAGAGGCAATGGGCACACACTGAAAAACAGGAAATTCCACCTTTTTTTTTTAAATTTTAAGGGTGGATAGACACTGACACAGGCTGCCGAAAGAGGTTGTGAAGTCTCCATCTATGGACAAAGTCTGACCAAACATGATCCTAGGCAGCCTGGGCAGACCTTGCTTTGAGCAAGGGGCGATTTGGACTAGATGATCTCAAGAGCTCCTTTCTAATCTCAACCACTCTTTGATTCTGTGAACAAAGACATTAAAGACTTAACCTTTGCAGATTTTTAAAAAAAACTTCCAAAGGCAAATTTTTCACTTTTAGGAAAAACCCTCCTCCTATCAAACTTCCTCTGTGAAATACCTCGACAGAGGAGAAATGTGAATACCTCTTTTGTTCTAGTATTAAGTTGAGCTTGTTTTCTGATTGCCCACTTGTTAAATACCACCCCACCCTTTAGCTCCTGGAATGCTGCTGTGCTACCAGATAATATCAGAACTCCTGTTTCAAGACAAAGCCCGGAGAGTCCTTCTGCCATGTGGTAGCTGCTCTAGCCTGTCACATGGGACAAGGCATTCAGTTCGGAGTAGGTCTCCCTGGCCAGAGTGTCAGAGTTGAATGTTACAGAATATGTATTCCTAGCTTTCAAATGAGAAGGAGCTTGCATTCCTTTACTTGAAAGACAAGTTACTACAGCAGAGTCTAAAGGCAAGCCTGCACTGCCTCACTCAGGCAGCAAAGCTCATTTCTTGCTAAGTCATGAAAAAGAGTTACAAGCTCAGCAAGAATAAAAATGCTAAGAAGTTCTAAAATCCAGTAAATGGAGGAGAAGAACTGCTAACCTCACAAGCTGATGTGCTTCTGAGAGCTCTGATGTTGGCTTAACTAAGAATTTTAGCCTTTATTTTGGAGCAAACATCTCTGGCCCTGCCCAAAAGAGACTAAATGAACTGTGATACCGCTAGAGCCCCAGAATGCGAAAGGAAGTACCTATTACTTTATTTTTTAAAATGTAATAACACAAAACCTAATTTTCTACCGTGTTCAGCAAACACCTAGTGATGGATGGTTTCCTACACTGATAGCACCGTGACATGTAAATTGGGCCAGCAAAACAGCAGCTACACCTTAGCTCTGCATCCATCTGCACACTCTTGGCCTCAGGAAGCACTATTTACATCTGAGGATGCATCAATTCAACTAAGTGTGAGCAATACTATTACAGCCTTGGCTCACACTGTCTTAACAAGACCTATTTAGCGTAATTTGAGAAAGGTTGTCAAGTATTACAATCACTATATAGTGAGAAACACCTTACTTTCAAGGTGTAAGTGCATGCTCTCAGAAGGATTCTTAAAGACTTAAGAGAAAATGCTTCTGATGGCCTGAAGGCACACAAGTCAGAACATGTAAATCCCTTCTAGCTGCCTGTCCAGTTTAGCTGTCTGTTACTGTGCAGCACAGCACTATTTCAATGTGAATTACTAGGAAGTGTTCAGCTTCCTAATTCACCTTATGGTTATGACAGGGCCCAATCCCTGTTTCAGCTAGTGGGCTGGCAAATAGCACCCTGGCAGAAACAACACCTTACATGAAAACCACCATGAAGTTACCAATTTGCCAACACAGGCAGTCATTTGTTTCTACAAGAAGAGCACATGGCTAAGATGAGAAGTGTTTGTGTGCAGAACCAGGCAGAAAATATGAACAGCTTGCTGAGCCAGTAAGCCCCAGACTGCTATTTGAGACAAGCAAGCTCAGACTGACTGTGCTCCCTACTGTCCAGGAATCGTCCCAGCACTTATCCCTCTGCTAAGGTGTTCACTTATTTACCCAGCACAGAACTGTTCACCTCTCACTGAACCACTTGAGTGTCCCACCCTTCACTGGTAGGGCTATCAACAGTTCCAGGTATGCTGGACCAATAGGCATTTGCTAGTAAATGATCTCTGGCTGCATGTAAGTATTTCTCTCAAACACAAAAGATTGTTGTCTGGAACTGCTCAGTCCTGGGGAATGCCTAGATGTGCAAAGTCTGAAGGGAGGCAGTTTACACACAGCCCATTCCCGGCTGGCATTAAAACTCCTTGGACTGTTACTTTCCCAGTGCCAAGTCAAAACCAGGCAGGTCTGCCAAGTAGGGGAAAGTGAAGGTGACAGCCACCACCACCCTCTCCCACCCCTGGTCACACCACTTCCTGCAGAAACACACCTGTTCTTTCACATTCCTGTGTATTTTCTATGCACTGCTTTGGTTTTTTGACTTACTTTACCAAGTGTTGCAAAAAAGGAAAAAATAGCCTCTTTATTATCTAAAGCTTAGGTCACCATTTAAACTTGACAAATTTTCTCACAGTTTAGTACCTACTGAAGACAGTCAGCACACCGAGTTTTTAATAAAATAATAAATGGGGGCTCCCAGACAACTCTGGGTAAAGGTAATCCTTCCTCATCAGGCAAGAAAGGGGGTAGATCCACTTGCAGTGAAAAATGCTTAAATACTGTTTGAGTAGTTATAAAGAGCAGAATTATGATGGGAAAATTTTGTACTATTGCTTTACAGAAAAGATGTAAGAGAAAATAATGCAATGGGCATTAATCATTCAGATCAGTCCAAGTACAACTTTTCCCATAAATTTTTATCATGACATTTGGTTACTTGCAGTGCATAATTTCCTTTGATGGGAGTTTTTCATTGCAAATTCATTTACTCAAATGCAATGATAATGGATTTCTTAAACTGACCGACACAGATCCTCAGGACCAAAGTGTCAGCGCTATGTTCTGGAAGACATTGATTTTTTGCTTTTAATAGGGAAGAGCATAATGAATACTGAGTTCAATGTGGGAGCATCCCACACATGAGCTGTGATCCTCTTGGAAAAATATCAGCTCTTGATTTCTCACACCAGATTAAAAGCAGTTCTTACCAACAACCTATTATTAAATAGTGAAAGGCATTTTGTGTGTTGCTTTTAAGTGTCTTACAGAGATCACAAACCCTTTTTTTTAATTTTAGACCACTACTGTACTTACCTAGATCAATAAGAATTGCATGCTGTTGGGAAGTTAGTTGCTTTAGGAGTTCTTTATAAGGTGTGTCCTTTGGTTGTTGTTTACTTGGAAACTGATGTTTAAGATGGTATTGCTCAGCTAAAAACTTCCAGATCTCCCCACGGTGGTGACGTGGTACTCCTGAGCAGAGAAAGTAATTAAACCAGTAATTTGTACTCCTACTGAGGGTTCTGCTCTAGGTAACAGGATTGAGAAAATGAAGATGCTTATTTGCTATAAAGTCAGGCATATCCCTCTTGGCAACCTCCAGTGGACCACAGAAGTAGATGAAACTACAGTGCTTTCACTTTCTCAACCAATAAAAGACATCAGCCCCTTAACAGGAGTGATTTAAAGCAGAATGAAATACTATGAACTGCCTAAGGTTAATGCTTACATCCAGTCTGAGAAGCACTAGAAGAGGCATCAAGAATTGCAATACTTGTCTCTGAATATGCTTATCTCAAATTTTTCTGTGCAAATAAAGCACTGCAATAGAACTAATTCACACTTTTCACTAATATAGCGTGGACTCTGATGTTATGAGTACGTTTTAGGAAGGTGGGGTGCACACATACCAAAAATATAAATAGGTACAAATGAGACGTGATCTAGAGACTACAACACAAGGCACATAATCAGATAGCAAATACTGAATTTCTAGTTTTGCTATTGGCTTGCTTAATGACTGGTGCATATAAAAATGTTTTAAAGTTTGAATTTATTTCTCTTTAAAAATGGCAGATGTTACTTAACTATTTCACATAAGTAATGACAGCCTTCATTTTTAAACTGTATGCGAAGCTCTGAGAGTAAAATTAATTCAGCACAAGACTATCACTCACTATTAAATCAGCTACACAAGAAATCAATGCACGTTCACTTGAGGAAGTGTTCTGTCTATTCCATAATGCACTGGAACCAGATACTACAGTTTGAAGTAACTTACAGCCTGAAGTTTTTAGGACTGTTTTTTTCTTTTGGTATATATATGACATATGGAGGACAATAACAATAAGAGAAATCAAGACTTACTCAAGCATACAAGTTATATGGAAAGATAACAAAACACATTAAGATTTGATATTGTTAAAAATATGGGCTTACCCAGTTATTTTAAATGGGCAATTTGGTTTAACTTGTTTGTATAATTGCACATAGTCAGGTGCAATATTTAAAATATTAAACTTCTGACAGTGGTTAAGTCTTGATACTTCCTTTATGCTGGAAAGCTTTGTAAAGAACTATAGAAAGCTCCTTAGAGTGGCCATCATTAATCCATATAGCACTCAGCCTAAGGCCTTTGGGTCCAACCATGGCAAATGCAACTCTGAGTAATAGCCCAATTTCTTAGAACATTTAAAAAACATCCTTAGGTTGTATTATTTTTGCTGCAGTGGAGACAGGGGTGGTTGGTCAGCCCTGCAGTTGTGAGGAAGACTCCAAGTGGTGTTTGCAGGGACAAAGTTCCTGAACTCAGAGAAAGCTCTTGAACTCAGAGAAAAGGCAGTTCTGCAGAGATACCCATGTCTACTGCCTGGGCACAGACACAGTACACAGCCTGGAACAGAGAATTTCCAGAAAACAGTGCAGAGGGCTTCTTCAGTTATTCACACAGTCATTTGTTAGCATTATCCAGGTGGGTTTTTAAATTTAATTGTAACTTTTAATTTATAAAATCAGATTGCAAAAACTGTAATACGTTGAAGTAGCATACAACTCTCCTGGTAAGGGCAGATGTTATTCAACAATGCATGATGTAGCTCCAGTGATACAACTGCAGCAACCACTGAAAGGGACTGGTACTTGTATTTGCATAACCATGATGGTACCAAAAGCTGTTACCTGTTTTGTCAGCAGCCTGAGGAGCAGCACTAGAGAGAACATAGTTATTAGGAGTGGTTAAGTGGCCATACTATTCCTTTCCAGATACAATTTACATACATTTCAACAATTCAAAAAACAAACTGTTTACCTTGTCCAACAGCAGAGTGTATTTTTTCCACATCAAATTTAATCTTTGATCTTCCAGGTGTACTCAACATTTTTTCCCAAATCAAAGTTACATCTTTTAAGCAAGGTGTGATTTCCTCATAGTCAAGTTTCAGGCGTCTGTTCTGCAAATTGTTTTCAGATGCTAAAAAGTGATATAATGAATGTAGCAGTTAATATTGTTTACTATTTTAAAAATGGATTAATTTAACTTACAACTTTCTCATGCTATTCACCTGAAATATTTAGTGTCTAAAATTTCATGATTCTGGGGTTGGATGGGTTTGTTTGGTTTTCTAAAGATATTAATTGTGTTTGGCCAGTTAAATTGAATTCTCAATGCCTAATCAACTCCTAAATATGAAAAAAACATGAGACATGATGACTAATGAAATAAACATATGATTTTCATAACAAGAATTTTCATTTTCCCAGCTCTTCAGTGCAGAAGACTTTCAGCAAATGAAAACATAAACCCAATTTAGCAATCTATTTGTTATGCATACAGCCCTGTAATAATAGTAACTAAGTAAAAACAATAGTTGGGAAAGCATCAAAAAACCATGGCAAAAATGAAAATGATTCTGTCACTGAGTGTAATTCCAAAATTTAGAAGTAGAGTGAGAATTTAAAAGGGTGTCTTGGTATAGCTTATAAGTTTTTTTTCTATGGAGGTATTTTAGTACTATAATGTCCTGGAAAACAGGATTTATTAATGTTAAACATGTAAACTAAATAATTAAGCATGTTTTGGATAGATCTGTGCAGGTAATAAGACTGAAAAAATAGAAAAGGAGAAAAAGAGGTGTAGTTCTTATGAGATATATATGTCAGTTGTCTACTCCTAAAAGGATGAAATGATGAAAGAAAATGCTATAAGGAAACCAAGATGCAGCCACAAAGACAGCACTAAGGAGAGACAAACTGTGGGGAGTTTATAGAGAAATTAACAAAATAGGTTTCAAATTTTTAACTAGGCTGAAATGTGGCTGAGTACTCAATGCACACAGTTCCAGGACAAGAGCAGCTCTCTACTTGCAAAAAATGAAGCAGAGCAAAAGTTCAAAATACATAAAAGTCTGGAAAGTCTCTATAGTATTAAACAAAAATTAAAAGGTAATTATCTTACAAATAACATGATTTGAAATGATGTTTATGAAATAGTATATCATGAAGTGACCAGGTTTTTTTATTAATTTGCCCTGGTGTGTTTACAGTACTTCTTTGTTATGATGATGCATTACTGTAATGGTAACAAGATACTCTTATTTTGAGGACATTCTGCCATATATCATGAGTCTGCTGCTACTTTTGAGGATTTCAGAGTATGAACTCATAGAATCACTCCTATCCATTTCAGTCTTGAGACAATCTATGTTAAAATGTTATTATATTATCTTTGGATAATTTAACTCTCCATTATTTTTATTTTCAACTCCTTTATACAAATTTAATAAACAGTTGAAGATTGCCTGACATTTACATTGCATAATGACACTATCAACACACTAAACTCAACTTGTCCTGAGATCTGTATATGCAATTCAAGTTTTTTATATTATTGAATTCTAAGAGTCACAAAGGGTTATCCTGTCCTGTACTCCCACTGATTACACTAGCATCTAGATTTTTAAAAATTAAAAAGAAAAGAACTGTTTATATCTGGAAAGTGTACCTCCTCATCTTGTAGTTGCTTTCACATGTGAATGACTTTATTCAGTGAGGTTATTCAAGTGAGTTGTGAGGTTATCTAAGTGTTTGCAAGATTTGGACCTCAGAATATTTAATTTTTAATTCAGTGATTAACTACAGATACATGAAATACATCCACTCATAGTTTTATTATAGCTGTGTGTTCATGCTGAAAGTAATTCAGTCTATCTAAACTATTTGTCAACTTCTTCATATTTTTGTTAGGTCAAAACCAACACATTTATAAATCAGAATATTAAAAACCTCAAAACACAGATGGTATTGTGTGAACATAACTTAAAAAGGGGCATTTAAATTTCAGGTTGCAGGAAAACAAACTTGGAGAAATCTTTCAATGTTTCATCTTCTGCAAACAAAAGTTTTTTGGTGCTTGGCAACTTTTCAGACTTTTCTGCTTTATTCAGTCTTCTCATGCTATGTGCAAAAATGTGACTTGTGAGGACTGAGGTGAGAATACACCTTTAGCAACAAGCTTATTTAGATACTGACACTACCCAACTCCCAATATCATACCTATGCACTACTAGTAAAGATGCTGTGCTCACTGCAGCACAGCCATCTGTTGTTTTCAAATATTGTCTCACCATCTGAGCTCTTCATGCAGCAGCTACCTAGGACAACTTCCTCACCCCACAGGGCATACAGCGCAGCTGGGCCTTCAGTTCTGCCAACACCCACCTCATTCATTCACTAACTAGCTTTTTAGACATGCTCAGCTTAACGTATGTGTGATGGTTTTGCAATTTTTTCTTCTGGACAGACAAAATTGAAGCATTTGGTTAAACTTGCTAAAATGTGTATGGATATTAATGACCAGCACTTGCCAAAAATCTGACTTCAGGCTGTGGGTTCAGACAAGATTTGAATATTTGAATACATTTGAATACAAGAGAAATGTAAAAAAAAATCAGGAGCATAAATACACAAACCAGAGAAAATTTAATTCCAAATGCCATAAAAAAGTTACAGAAGCTCATTTACAACAGCACTGTTCTAAGCTTGAAGAGGTTGTATAAATAATTTCTCTTAGCGCCTCTTCTCCAGATGGCCTCAGCCTCTGGCCAAGGACACTGTATATCTGGTATCCACTGTGATATTTTATTTTACTGGATTAGCTAGTACATAGCTGGGAACATGCTTGTCACCTGTGGGGTTCTTAGGAAACGCGGGTGTCAGGTGTTCTTCAGACAGGGTTGAAATAGGAGAGCTACACTGCAGGGAGCAAACAGCCTACAAGTGGGCCAAGTGCTTTGGCAGGCCATATCCAATATCCAAGAGGTGCTCTGTCTTTCCAGTCATGTGTCTTAGCCTGAGTTTAAAGGATTTCATGTTTGGTGTACTGAACTTTTCATACAGCTGGGCCCTCTCTCTACACACTTCTTGGAAGTCAATCCTTCCTCGAGTAGAGACAAGAAAAAGAAATATTGCCATTTTCATGCCAGGTACCTCCCCTTTTGAGGGTTTAGGTGCCTACTCCCTTCCTGAACACCTAAAATCACCACGATAAAAATTTCTGTCCTCATCATTCATATCTTCAAAGGAGAGCTCTCCAAGGCAATCACTTGTGAATTGTGAACAGGCATACACCTGTTCTTCATGCGTAAAAATTGCCACCAAAATGGATTTGTTGCAGCCAAGTCATTCACAGAAAAATTGTGGCTAAGAACAACTGAAAATTACAGTTTCTCAAGTCCTTTTGGACTGATCTAAGTCATTACCACCCTGCAGAAACCTTGCTTGCACAATGTGGGTGCTACTGCAGGAACCCATAGTTTCACGTCCACATGAACCTCTTTAAGAACTTCCTTTGAGCCTCAAGACTGGGTAAACACAACGTTGCAATGACCAATACTTAGACAAGGACCTGTGGACGTGAACATAGAAAAGAACTGAGTTCATGATACTGATCATGCTGAATTCCTTGTGAGAGCTTCTAGACACCAGCCATGGTAAAGAGATGGTCTTTCAGATCAAGTAAACAAATAATAAGGTGAAGTAATAAAAAAATTATCATACATTGTCACCTACACTAATGAGTGCTGAAGGAGATATTGCTAATCTGATTTACCTGTGGGTTCCTAGAATGTTTCATTAAGGCTTGGTGCAGTCCACTACCAAGGCCACAGAGAAAACTGAAAGGTGAGTTTGTATTGCAGTAGGGTATAGTACTCAAGAACTCCACCAACCTTGTAACTTCTGGTTTTCTTTCTCCATTCTGAGGAGCAGTATCTGCTGAATAATGGCTTTCTTCCACAGCTCTCTAAGCTCATGGGGTGTCCGCTTCCTTTCTTCTTTCACTGGCCCAAAGGGGCCATCTTCACACACTGGCTCCAATGGGGATCTGGGTGGGAGATCTCCCAATTCACAGTAATCTTTGAAAAAGAGAAGCTGCTGTCAACTAATTGGATGTCATGAACATGTGAATGAAGGGACAGTTTGCACATATATAGATACACACATCTACATATATACACACACTAACTCATGTATCCATCTATATCTAGATAGATAGATAGGTAAGAGGAAGCAATACCAAGCAAGATTTCCCAAATGACAGTTTCAAAGAGACTTAAAAGCTGCTTCAGAATAAGAATCATACAGGCTAAAGCCTAGAATATTATTTTCTATAACCTGGTAAAAACATTGTACCACAGACCAAGAGCACATCTTGCTAATTACAACTTTACCCCAGAGAACTGAACGGAAAAGGCAAGTTTGAGAAATTACAGAAACATAACCTACAGCTGAAACGCGGCATGACTCAAATAGCAGATAAAATCAAATATAACACCCACATAATTTGAAGAATAATCTCTAAAGCATGTTTAACAAAGAAAACACACGCCCTTAGCTGCACAAACACACCACCACCTAAGGCCATACAATGGGATGATTACCAGCTCTTAAAGTAAATAGGTGGAAAGAGAGACAGGCACTTAAGACATGCTTGTTTTTACTTCTCATTTTTAACCATATCATAACCGTCTTCATTTTTTCTTTTGGCTTCAGATGGTCTACCACAAAATATATCATTTTTTCAAGCATGCAAAGCAATTCTAAGACTGAAAACATTACAAAAGAAAGTGAACATTAAATAAATCTCAGGCAAATTGAAAAATAATTTATTTTTAGAAAAAAAGGGTATATAACATTGTTTTACATAAGTAATCAATGTAAGAAGCACAAGCTGTTATACTTTGTTTTCTTAATACCTGCTGTAGTATCACTTAATTTTATAGTTTTATACAGCTTCTCTGGAGGCTCAGTAGTCTTTGACACAACCTGTATCTAGAAGAAAAATTACGCAACTCAACAACTTTAAAATGAATGGTCAAAACAACCAATCTCTTCCTACCAAATCTCAAACAGAAGGTCATAGCAACAGCACTTCTTCACCCAACCAGAACGGCTATGAAACGGCCCCCTGAGCTATACATGCAAGCCAGTGCTTTAAAGTTAGTGCAATAAAATCCATTCACAGATTCACCAGCCAAGGACACACATCTGTGTGTGCTATTTCAAACAGGTCCTGTAGAAGGAGCATTCCTGAAGCAATTGTTCTGATGGCAGCTCAGTGCTCCACGTCTTTATCATTGCCGAGCATGGTGGTAAAGATTTTGAATTAAACACACACATCATCTCATCTCTTCAAAACTAACAAAATAGGAAGGTTTTCCCCGCTTTAATTTCTGCCCAGACTGTCACTCTGCTTTGACTCATGCAGCTCATATACAGCTATTCTTTCCTTGTTTGTTCGAGGCACTCGCACAACTGAGCTCAAATGACTAAGAATGGAAATGTTCACTGCTGTTCACTTCTGCTTTTCTAAGTCTTGCCACTGTCAATCTTCTCCCCTCAAAGAGTCAGAGAGAACTAGAGTGGCTCCAAATACCACTCATTTCCTTATACAACATTTATTTGCTTGCCACCACAAAGTCTAGGGCTAAAATACACATACAAAAAAGAGTGCAACATTTTCAGCTAGCAGAACAATTTAAACCTTTACAACCTTGCATTCTGGGTCTAGACGTGGATACCCACACTTATGGTGTCTACAGCATTTCAAAGGACAATGAACACCATGGGAATGAGAATTAAGCAAAGGTCAAATATTTGACACTTTAATGGCAATCACCATTTCTGCAAAGAAAATAGGAAAACTGACAGGTGCACTCAGAAATACAGCTGGTTAAGAAAAGTATCAATACAATGAAAAGACTATTATATTCATTAAAAGAAACAGGGAAACATTAATCTTTTTTTTCTTTACAGGTAAATGGAAAGACTTCAGTGGGCTAAGATCTACAATTATGAAAGAGCTACAGGCAAATGTCAGCACACAGAGAAGATACACACATTCAATAACTTTCAACTTGTATTGACCATGAAAGGAAAATTATTTTTATTTGATTGCTGGTTTTGATGCAATTGTAGGTTTTGATGCACATGCTATACTGTGTAGAATTTCTAAATATAGTAGCGTTGATCTCAATTTTCCTTAGTGCATATTAAGAAATATTTAAAGGGCAATGCTCTTAACGATAATGCTGGTAGAATTCACTTACTTTTTTTTGGAATAAAATAATAAAGAAATAAAAAGACAATCTTCAAAGGAAGTTGTTAATTTCTGCTAAGGTTGCATACAATAATGACCATAAGAAAGAGGAATCAACAGAAGTGCTCACCATAAACCAATGCAAAAAAGTAAAAGTGATCTAGATAGAAAACCCCTTATCTACTGTACAGTGTCTGTGGTCTATTCACATTTTCCATTCACATTCCATTCTCAAAGCATCCAATATGGAACACAGGCACATCCTGGGGGAAGCAAGTCTCTTCTGCACATCCTCACAGTGGTTTATGTATCTCTTTCAGCATCAGATGTGTATTCTGATTTTATGTTTGCATACATGCACTAATATGTTAGAAAACAATAGACTATGTCCAGATACAGTTTATGGGTACCTACTTGCTAAAAAAAGCCCTAAACCCAAAAAACCCAGGCTGGCAAAACACATGCAAGGAAACTGATTAAACACGTTGCATTCCTAAAGCAAGAATGAACACATACAACATCTAGAATCTTCCTGTCTTTAAAGTACCCATCCCGCTTCCTCAGGACAAATTTCAGGGATTGGTCTTCAAGTACCAAATTCACAAGTTTATCCGAGACATTACTCACTTGTCGTTCTCCAGTGGTCAAACTGTGGCAACACCTGAACTGCTGCAAAGCATTAATTACTGAAGACCACAGTCCTGCTTCCATTTAGGCTGGAAATTTCCCATCTGTTGCTGACTAATCTCATAAAATCAGTATTTATTAAAAGAAATAATGCTTAAGGCTATAAAAGAAAACCAAAAGGTTACAAAATTCTATAAGCTGAACAATAATGATTATCTACCCTACCTCTAATGTTCTGTGAAGAATCCTAGGATTGATTTTGCCTTTCAAAAAGCAGCTCCTTTTCTATTTTTTCTTTTGCTTCTTATCACTTGTGGACATTTAACAGAAAGTCTAAAGTCTACTCTGATAAAGTGCAAGACATTCAAAAGCTGCCTTCCTTCCTGTCTGCATGCTGGCAAGATTTACAGAAAGCAAAATGAACCTGTTTAACTGCTCAGGTGGCCTGTCAGAAGTCTGCAGAGTTGCATCAGCTGTTTGGCTAGTAAAGGAGGGAGGAAGGTGGAACAGGAAGCAAAATAATCCCTCAAAGCAAAATAAAAAACTCAGACATTTGGTAAATCAGCACTAACCCATGCCCATGAACATACAAGGTGATAGAGAGACATACCACCCAGCTTCCAGATGCAGAACAGACGAGCAGAAATACCGTGACAAGGGACTGAGTATTGCATTGTTACACACTGGGAATCTGGAGGATAGCAGAGAAAGCAAAGGTAAACAGTAGAGCAACTCAACTGCATCTAACTGGGAGCTCACATTCCACCGAACCAAACTGCCATGTGTTAACATCCAAGCAATGTGTACCCTTCAGAACTTTTATGAGATTAGTCGGTGCACTTAAGCAGGATCTGAATGCTTCAGCACACACTGAAAGACTGCTTCCCTGTTCATCTGCCAACTTAGTCAGCTTTTGTTGACTCCTATTCCACATTTGACCTGACCCTAACTCCTTTTAAATATATTGCTTCCTTTGCTTCCACATAACATTCTACCTCCATACATGCGACTCCTACAAGCCTATAGCACTTTTGTTCTCTAAGGTTCAGGATTTGGCAAGGTGACTCAATAACTATTAGTATATTTGATCAATGGTAATTTAATGGTAATTTTCCATTTGAGGTTCATATTTGGACTACACTTCAGAGCTATTCTTCTGCACAATGGAATTTTACAAGTCTGCAAGTCAAACCCAAGGATTCCCTGAGAAACTGCACTTCACTGGGAAAACCACCATCTTTCCTAGGCTTGTGAGAACTTCTTCAAGGTACTGAATTTCAGATGACACTTCTCATGAACCAGATGGAAATGTTGCTCAAATATTCTAGCACATCCATACATACTTCAAAAGCATTCCTCTTACGCTTCCACTACTTATAACACCTAACAAAGGAGAAAGGCCAGTAGGCACAATGGACCGCAATGGAATTTGTACAGCTCATCTACTCATTTATACTCAGCTCTTGGCTTCACATGGCAGTGCTTCAACCCTAAGGTGAAGAGTATTCCTACACTCCAAAAGGATCAACAAATGCATGACACAAAACTCTCAAATGGAAAGACGACACAAAAACAAAGTACAAAAGATTAAGAAGGAAGTATCATGATATCTTTCTACCAGGGCCCACACTAAAGAAAGTCTGTACATGGAAAGATGGTGAATGACCTCAGTAGTAATTAAAACAGACAATATCTGATCAGAAATTATATGAACGGGGATATTTCATTTGTAAATCACTAAGAAAAAATTAGTTTATCAAATATTTTCCTAATCAATCCACCTTAGTACTAAACAAGGTTTCAGAGACAAACCAACCTAAAAGCCTAAATTGAAAAAACATTCTTTCAGGATCACTTAGTCTAACCAAGCTCAACTGTCAAAACCAAGACAAGATCATCTTGGACTAGAAACTCCAACACTTCAAGTAGAAAGGAAGGGCTGATAGGGAGGAGGCTCAATAATAATGCATTATCATCAACCTCACTACAGAATTGTTTACACATGGCTTTCTACATGCAGTGTTTACCAGTCACATCCACTCTCTGGGGTTAAAAAGTCAGAGAAGATATGGTAAGAATCTGGACAGAAGAATCCATTAAGCCTTTTATTTACTACATTATGTTATTTTTCTTTGTTGCATTTCAAACTTTATAAAATTCAGCTCGGCAAACAAACAAACAAGAGAATTT